TCTGTAGCTGTTAACTTATCTGACATATATGCATATTGAATTCTGAAAACCATAATATATTAGATATAAATTTAAAAATGTATATATATAGATACTGGTATAAATTCCTGACAGTCCTCTGGTTCTAACAGATTTATAGACTTGGTAACATCCCAGACTCTGTCAGTAAAAGAAGAATTTTTCTACATTATAGAGCAAAATATGGAGGCCATATGGAGTAGTGGTCAAGCATGTAGCCTCTAGAACCAGACTACCTCAGTTAAGAGCCAGATTCTGCCATTTGAGTAACTGAATGACTTCAGGCGAATTACTTAACCTCTCAGTGTTTCATTTTTCCCCCTCCTAAAATACGAATCATCCAGGGCCTAGCTCAAGGATTCCTGTGAGAACTGAATGAGTTAAGGTGTATAATAAAACACTGAAAATAATGCCCACCAGATAAATCTTTAAAAGTGGAAGCAAATATTACCATCAACTTCATCATTATAACACTGTAAGCGACAGTACAGAGTAGTGCTTACAAGAATGGACAATGGGCAGAGATGCCTGAAAATTCTGTCCCATCCATGCTACTTAAAACTTCACAACCCTGGTTTAGTTGCTGACCTTCTCTATCTTCAGTCTGAAGGAAATTATCTATCTCACAGCATTATTGAAATCAAATGTTGTAGTTTTCTAAAACTTGTGTGATCTTAAGAATCAGTTGACATGGTTCTCAAAAACATAGATTTGGGGCACCTGGGTGGTTCAGTCAGTTGAGCATCCGACTTCAGCTCAGGTCATGATCTCGTGGTTCATGAGTTCAAGCCCCATGTCGGGCTCTGTGCTGACAGCTCAGAGCCTGGAGCCTGCTTTGGATTCTGTGTCTCCCTCGCTCTCTGCCCCTCCCCGACTCACACTCTGTCTTTCTCTCTCTCTCAAAAATAAACATAAAAAAACTTAAAAAGAAATATAGATTTATATACAGGTACTCTCTCAGACCTACTAAATCAGAGTCCCTAGTGGATACTCTAGGAAACCAGTATTTTTATGAATAACCCCAGATAATTCTTAGAAGCAAACAAGTACGGAGAACACTGAAATAACTGCATCTCAACCCCCGCCAAACTTGTATGTTGAGAGCCTAACCCCCATGGTGATGGTATTTTGAGATGAGGCCTTTGGGAGGTAATTAGGTTTAGACATCCTGAGGGTAGAGCCCTCAAGAAGGGATCAGTGTCCTTATTAGAAGAAGAGGAGACACCAGAGTTCGTTCTCTCTCTCTCTCTCTCTCTCTCTCTCTCCACCTTGTAAGGATATAACAAGAAGGTGGCCTACTGTGAACTAGGAGGGTCCTTACCAGTATCCAACCATGCCAGCGCCCCAATCTCCAGCTTCTAGTCTCCAAAACTGTGAGAAATGAATTTCTATTGTTTAAGCCACCAGTCTATGCTATTTTTCAATAGCAGTGGGAGCTGACAAAAACACACAGTGTATACAGGGAATAATATAATCCAGGATAAATGGGAAGTATCTAGCACATGATAGCTATCCTTATGATGTACGTGCAAAATTCACATTATGCGAATGAAACTTTACCCTTGCACAGAGCTGGGGAAAACCTCCTTCTGTAATGCTGGAGTATTTCCAGGGAAAAGATTCAGACTGAGAAGCAAAGAGAATGGATGGAGAGGACAGATGGCGTAGACGCACTTTTCCCTACTTCTACCACTATGTACACAGCTAAGCACATAAACTCACAGGACGGCAACCCGCCTCCACCTCCACCCCAAAGAATCATCAGGACCAAAATGTCAATCACGCAGTGGTTGCGAAACCCAGGTTTAAATCAACCTCCACTTGGGAGTCTTCCCCAGTAAGAATAATCTCTTTGTTCCCTGAACATATGGTTACCAAGGAAGTTTAAAACGAGGTTTCTTGAGTTCTTCCCAAGCATGTTATTTTGCCTAACAGACCTTGTCTTAGGCCATTCGGGCTGCTGTAATAAGACACCAGACTGGGTGGCTTATAAACCACAGAAATTTATCTCTCAGTTCCGGAGGCTGGCAAGTCCAAGATCAAGGTGCCAGCTGGGTTGCATTCTGAAGGCCCTCTTCCTGGTTCATAGCCCCCAGGCCTTCTCAGTCTTCCTCTTCACAGGTCGGAGGTGCAAGGGAGCTTGAAGAGCCTCTTTTACCAAAGGCACTAATCCCATTCATGAGGGCTCTACTCTCAAGACCTAAGCACCTCTCAAAGGCCCCACTTCCTAATACCAGCACACTGGCATCAGTATTTCAACATATGAATGGGGGAAGGAGAAAGACAAAAACATTCAGCAGGTCTAAGATTCGCTTCAGGCAGGACTAGTTATTAGCTAACTTAAAAATACTGTTTCCGGGGCACCTGGGTGGCTCAGGCCATAGAGCGTTGGGACTCTGGCTCAGGTCAGGATCTCACAGTTGGGGAGTTCAAGCTCCACATCTGGCTCTGTGCTGTCGGCCTGTCAGTGCAGAGCCTGCTTCAGATCCTCTCTCCTCCTCTCTCTCTGCCCGTCCCCCACTTGTGCTCTCCCAAAATAAATATTTGTTTAAAAATACTGTTTCCCCAATCAACAAAACTAAAAGGCAACCGACAGAATGGGAAAAGATATTTGCAAATGACATATCGGATAAAGGGTTAGTATCCAAAATGTATAAAGAACTCACCAAACTCCACACCCAAGAAACAAATAATACAGTGAAGAAATGGGCAGAAGACATGAATAGACGCTTTTCCAAAGATGACATCCAGATGGCCAACAGACACATGAAAAGATGCTCAACATCACTCATCATCAGGGAAATACAAATCAAAGCCACACTGAGACACCAGCTCACGCCGGTCAGAGTGGCTAAAATGAACACATCAGGAGACTATAGATACTGGAGAGGATGTGGAGAAAAGGGAACCCTCTTGCACTGTTGCTGGGAATGCAAACTGGTGCAGCCACTCTGGAAAAGTGTGGAGGTTCCTCAAAAAA